CTTGTTATTGTCAGTGATACAAATCTTTGACCGAAACAAATGACACCACGTGCTGATCGGTATCTCATCTGCCAAATTCAATTTGACTCTGCTAGTTCTTGAATCTCATCAGATAGACCTTTCCCATTTTTTTCCTATTCTTGGACCATGCAACTTTCGGGGTACAACTTCCGTTCTCAATTAACAATTTCAAGGCTAATTGTACTTTTGAAAATATTTTTCGAAGCTATTGATTCAAAAAATTAATTTAAAAACCTTTTCATCCAAAAAATCAATTAAAATCTGCTGAAAGAGCTTGTTCTTTAAAATTATCAAAAGAATTTTCAAACACAATTGTGCAGAAAAGTAGCTCTTTCCTGTGAAATCTTAGTTGATGCTTTGACTTTGAATGCCTCTGATTCTCTTGTCCTTCCTCGAAGGATCGTTTGTGTGATAAAGAGAGACGGAGCCCACTTTGTATTTTTTTCTTTTGGCTTTTGAAATACGGAACCAAAGATTGATTCTATTTATTGTATTTTCTCGCTAGATTAGTGATTGTGCTGCATTCGGAATAAAATATTTAAATAATCGTTTCCTCATCGGTTCAGGTCACAGGAGTGAGAGGTCACACGCACTGCACAACAATACGCTTTTCGATAATTTTATCAAAACATCTACCTGTGCAACGCCCAAATAGAAAAGTACAAAAGCTTGTAATACGAATAGGAAACATTGAGGAGAACCGCATGTTGAGTTAAACCGACAAAGTGAAGAATTTGGACATAACCTTTCCCTAAATAAATAGAACCTTTGTTGGCATTCAAACAAGCTAATTGGACCCCAAAGTTGGTTTGGTTTGCAGGGCGAAAAAGTATTAAAAAGTAAGTAAAAGAAAAAGTAAAAAGTCATTACTATTAGGTCCTTGCAAAAGAAACTGCTGATTAAAACCAAAATTTGAACAACTCAAAAATCAATAAGAAGATAACTCTATTCCAAAAGATATTTGCCATTATTATCAACTATGTTCTTACATTTTTTTGTGTAGACTGCGGATGTCTGATTCGAAAAATTCGGGGTCCCGAGATGCAAAGTAGCCTTGCACCTAAAATTTCGACTTCTTCAGGATTATTAAACTTTAGCTTTGCAAGAGAGTGTTGAATAGACAGGAACAAATGGTAATCTGAGGGAGCGATATCAGGCGAATAGGGCGGATGAGACACACCTTTCCAGCCTAATTCTTCTATGGTGTTTTGAGCCAAGTTTGATGTGTGTACCCGGAAATTGTGAGCGAGTAAATGGATTGTCTTTGGATTAACACCTCTTTCTCGTAGAATTTCATCAACTTTCTTCAGCTGTTTGGCGTAGATTTGTGTAGTTATAGTTTTTGAAGATTTTCGTAATTCAAAATAAACGATTCCTTTCATATTCCAAAAGACCGACAGCATAACTTTCTTTCCGTGGAGTTCTGGGTGTGGTGTCGGAATTGGCCTTTCTCCTTTGCTCAACTATGGTCTTTTGCGTGTTGTATTATTGAAATATGTCGACTTTTCGTCCATCATCAACATGTTTCAAAAAAGCGCTGCCCGTAGCCTTTTTCAATAGGAACCGAGACCATAAAACTCGCTTTGCTTCCAGGGGATAATTCATGTGGGACCCATTGGCCACAACGATTCCTTTTTCCAATAAGCGCAAGGTGTCGAGAAATTGTGCTCGAATCACATTTAAAGTATTCGGCTAATTCGGTCAAAGTTTGAGTTGGATCCAACTCGGCAATCTCCAGCAACTCCGCATTATCGAAGACAATTAGACAATATCCATGAGGCTCGTCTTCCAAGCTGTCATCCCCTTCACGAAAACTTCGAAACCATTCCTGGCAAGTCCTTTCACTCAAAATGTTTTCTCCGGATGTTTCACAAAGATTTCGGTGCGACTTCGATGCTGATTTCTTCATTTTGAGGTCATAGCGCAACATGGGTTTTTGATCCGTCATCTTCTACCGAAGATTATGTAATATTTAATGATAGCAATAGTTGTAAAAATAATTAAAATGAATAAGCAATAATAATACAATATAAGACAATTTAAACCGGACCATCACACTTTCAAATAAAAAAACTTTCGTCCGCGGAAGTAATCCGCAGTTTCTTTTGCAAGTCCCTAATAGTTTTTTACTTACAATTTGGAAATGCGTTTAACTGTTTTTAAAATATAATAGTTTACAGTTATGGGCAGAGTTTGGCTGTATCAATATTCGTTTCAAACATTCATTGATTGAGAAAGTTATGCCAAAATCAGAAGAATTGTTCAAGAACAAAAGGATTAGAAATTCACGCATACATGGATTAATCCGGGGGTAGAATCATGGACATAACTTGTTGTTTTAAATGAGTTTTTCGTATTTTTTAGACCAAAAGAAATCGAGTTAGAGGGCTTTAAGCAAAAATAATTTTCTTCAACAATGTGGTACCCCCTTATGTGATTTTTTGGGATCCGAAAAATGAGCACCGAACAATAGAGGGTCTAATAGAGGATTTACAGTCCAAGGATTTTACAGGAAACCCCAATTTGCGAGCTAAAGGTGAAACGATATGATATGTGTTCTTTAAAAGTTTCAATCGTCTGTGGGAAACCAGGCCATTTTCCAAACAACAGACTTGGAACAGACTACAATCGTATCAGTAGTTTCAAGGATGATCTGTGAGAATAAGAAAACCAGCTCGATCTTCTCTCAAGCAAACTGTCAAATTTCTCACTAGCTCTTCACAAATAAGTGTACCAGTCCATTCTTATTCATTTCTCTGTGCTTCAGCACAAAAAAACTGCTTGTAAAACTATCGGCAAATCGACCATAAAAAGAGTCCACCTTTTTTCAGTTTCAAAGCTTTTTGTTGCGCATTGAAATTTCTGATCGGATTAACTCCTAAAAGTGATAGCGTCTTTCTTGCTTTTTTTATAGAACAAACTTTGAACAGTTTGCATGGAGGTTTGCATGGAGGTAAAGGAATCACTTTGATGAAAATTGTGGAATTACGAAGAAAAGAAAACAACTTTCACAAGATCAAATAAGAGAAATTCTGACCAAATGAGGAAGAAGGCGTTCTTTTATACGCGTCTGAGTGCGACATTGTTTAGGGTACGGTACTTCTGGTGTCTTACTAGACTGCGGCAGCTTTTTGGTGACTCGTCGTCAGAATATATGTACAATTTTGCTATCTTTTTGTAAACGGTTTTCTATAGAATAGGGTTTTCGACAGCCTCGGTTTAGGCTGTCGCTTTGGATATCATGGCAGAGACTGCTCGACGAGATGTCCAGAAAATTGTGACGCGTGTGATCAATCAACTGGCTATTGTTTGCGTGGGTTTATCGGCAATTTCATCCTAAATTCTATTCATTTTTATAATGTCAGTCAAGATTCCTAGCTTCTTAGATGCTTTAGGTTGTAAATATGGATGGTACGGTAGAGACTGCTCGGTGCGATGCCCTGCCGACTGCGAAACATGTGATCAGGCTTCGGGACAGTGCATCAGTGAGTGAAAATAGAAACAAATTGGCTTAATAAATTAAAGATTTCAAATAGCACAATTAAAATAAAGAATGCAATAGAAAGCTGACAAAAGTTTAGACTTCCGAGCTCGCCCACCTCCCTCTGAACCTCAAGCTTCACCCTCACTTCCAAAAGGCTGTCACCGAGTGACCACCGTTGATGGTGTAGAATTTGTGGTCACTTAATCCACATCAAAATTTGCGAACCCCTATTTAGAGCTGTTATCCGTATCACAGTTCTTCAAACAATACTAACGATAATGACAGAGTGGAAGCATCGGACAAACGCCTACAAGATCCAAGATCAAATCCAGTTAACCGTAACTACGATCCAATGTATAATAATTAGCAGTTTTTTGATTTATTGTTTGATGTTTCAGTTTTGATCCACGCTCTTCACTCTACGATCCACGATACAACCCATTTGATCCACAGTATGATGTTGAGAAAGACAGGGAGTGAGTGAGGAACGATTGGATTCAAAGGATAAAGATTTACACATGCATAGTCAAGCATATATACTGCATTAATATAATAGTTGAACAATACTGTATAATAGTAGAATTTTAGGGAATTCTGGACAAAAAATCATTGAAATATTTCAGATGGCGGGCCGCCAACGAGGTAACTGAGGATCATTCGGTGAGTTGGAATGTTCATGAACTGAAATGAGCTGTGCAAGTGTCTAGTTCTCTAACAGAACACTAAATAAACAAATTTCATTAGCTAGCTACTGAAATTGCCTTTTTTTCATTTCAATCATGTGCTTTGAGTACGACAACGTTTCAGGATCACGATCACTCTTAAGGAAGATCACGATGAATTTGTGCAAAATGATGAATGATGAACCTTTTTAAATCAAATAAATTTTACAAGAATGCAAGCGTTTTGAAATTACGCACAAATTTGGAAGCACCTGCTTTATAGAAATGCTTTTAAAACAAAAAATCGGCGCTCAACTTTATTTTCCAAGACACATTGCAGGACACATTGTACATCATCACAGCCAAGACACCAAGACACATTGTAATTAGACAATGTTAAGGCAAAAAAACAAAACTCTTTATTTGTTTAACGTTATGCCATGTTTGTAGTCATCAAAAACTCAAAAACACTCATCTTTCTCGGAGTCTCAAGATCAACTTTGTGTCTAACAATGACAAAAACGAATTTCTTGTCTTTTAAATCGATTGATGCTACACGATCTCTTCTTTTATTTGGATCCGGTAAATCCAAATAAATAAAACGACGATCAGTTTTCTCATAGTGAAACTGAAGAAATTGAAAAAAAATCTCAGCATATTGTGGGTTTTGTAGAAATCGTAGATTCTGATCTGATCCCTCAAGATTTAGGGTTTCTTGTCGGAATGCTCTTGAAATCACTTTACAGATTACAGTGTAGAGTTTAAGGTAATCAATGACAGATTGACTAGCGCAATCATAGTACTTCAGACGGTATTTCTCGGGAATTCCTTCAGGGAATCCACCGCTCACCCCGCAAATCGGGGTACACTTGCACTCGTGTCTTGGTGGGGATTTTAGTTGAAAGATATAGCCAGGTATTGGCAGATCGAGGCCTTGAGTAATGGATTTTGTTTGAACAGAGCCGTCAGTGAGATATGAACGAGTTTGTAACTGAAAGCACCTCTCCAGACGGTACTTTGCCCGATTCAATCCAGTCACCATCACATCCAAATCGAGTGGCAAATTCTCCATAAACTCTAACTTGTCAAAGTTGGCCTCGTTTGGCATAAGAAAGACCTCTTCCGATCTCCATTTTCCTTCAAATCCTCTCACTTCACTTAAATCTTTCCGAATGAATCGACACTTTGAGTTGCTTCTATCTTTTGATGGCAACAATTTCTCCAGCAACAGCCATTCTTCTTTTAATGACGTCGAAAAATAACACTTTAAATAGATTCTCTTTGAGTATTGCAATCGCAATTGATTCAGTAATGAGATCACCTCGTCAAATCGCTCATACAGATCCCAGTAGCCTGTGGATGCCTTTGAAATCTCTTCCAGGCAATGAAAAGCAGCTATATACACTTCATTCTGTGCTCGAAAATCCCTTTTCAACACCATTTCAAGGAATTCCTCAACTGTGTGCTCTGCAAAAGATCTTCGTAACTTGAGAGCTCTCGGTCGTTGACTTATATCGAAAATATATGGTTGTTGAACTTGATCTTGTACAATGTCAGAAATTCTCTGGAGAAAATTCTCCTTTTCCTCATCAGTCGAATTGTCAAACTTTCGTTCGAGAAGTTCTCTTCCCTTTTTCACTAATTGATTCACGTGTTGCTGAGGGTTTTTGAAAAAATTGATAAGCATCTCATCGCTTAGATCATCTTGATCTTCTTTTACTGGAGAAAAAGGAGTAATTGAGGAAGCGGCAAATGTTGAGCCGGTCTTTTCGAGAGCAGTTATCGGAGATTTTTGAAAAGTGTTATCAAAACCAATCGGTCGAACGATAGTTCGCTGTTCTTCATCTATGAATGGTTGGAAATCGTAGCGGGTGTATTCCTAAATGGTAAATTAGACTGGAATCCTCATTTAAATGGATTCAGAATAGTCAAGCCTTACCGAGCTTAAAAGATCCAAATCACAGACCACTTGTGCAGCTGCGGCGCGTTGTTGATAATCGAAATGAGTGCATCTGAATAAGTCTTCTCATTTTAACTCTAATGGAATCTATTCAGTCTTTCAGTCTTCTCAAAATATAATCAAATTCACACGTTCACGACGAACCTTTCGATTAATTGTTGAAGAGCAAGATCACATTTGGGAGGTGACAACGAATCGACTCGTTCATGCCAAACTTTATGAATAAAAGTGTTCCAATCGAAATGATTGATCCCTCTTGCATCTTTCTGTATATAAGCCTCAAAAGCCATTCTGAAATTTAAATTTTGCTACTGGTAGATGTGGGTAAAACCTTCTCTCAATAAGTTCCCATAGAACAAGGCCAGCTCCATAGACATCGTTTTTCGATGTAGCCTGGGATAAGTCTTGTAAACTGTCTTATTTAGAGCAACTCACCAAGCAAGGAGCTGTTAGCCCAATTGCTTCGGGAGCCATAAATCGATAGGTTCCTGCAACGGTTGCAGAACAAGTTCTCTCATTGATACGAATGCAGCCAAAATCGCACAATTTCACCACATAGTCACCGGTAACCAAAATGCTAAAGTTTAATTTTAATTGAATACAACATTTATGTACAATGAAATAATGGATTGTACTACTTCAAGCAATGAAATTGGTAGTAGTCGTTGAGTAATCAGTCTTGATATGGGTTAGACTTCAGTTTCAAGTCTGAGCTAGTTGATTGTTGAGTTTGGGGTGCGACCCGCTTTAACCTTATCATCGAGGATGATTCTGCTTAAGAATGACCGAATAGCACAAGAGGTTAAAAGGGTTTCCCCAAAGCGCTTACAACGTAACAAGAACACGTAGTATCCAACATAAGATTAATACTCGTCGGTGGCGACACAAATGTTAGTAAGCTCTCTCTACAATGTTAAACCAGTTATCTAAACAGGATTTAAAACCTGAAGGGTAGCATAAAGTAAGTTGAATTTATAATTTTACTGTTTATTAGTACAAAACCAAAATGCAACAATACCCATTAAAAAACAGCATGCGCATCAATAGAAACAACAAAGTCCCCCCAGAAAGAAGGCAAAAACCTCCAGACCAGAAAAAACAATTTTGAGAAGGGAGCAAAAAAGACGAAAAATGCTACGCGAATAATTGCAAACTGGCAACGCAAATAGGAAGGAAACGGACCCGACCGTTGATTTGAGATCATAACAGAGGTTGGTTTATCTTGTTAAATCTTACTTTTCCGTTTTCACATCTCTATGAAATGAGCAATGTTTAGCCAAATAATCAAGAGCATCAAACATTTGTTTACCCCATTCGATCACCGTTTTCATCGAGTAGATCAACTTTGAGTCAAAGATTACTAAAATTTAAAGTTAGTACCTTTACTTATTCATGTATCACCTTTATTTAACGATCCTCTCTCGCAATACTCAAGTAAAATCCCGTTAGTGTGCCCGTTTTTCGAAGTTCTCGGCGCTTTCCCGAAATACTCGACAATATTTCGATGCTTGAAGTTCTCCAGAGCTTTGCATTCTTTCTCAAACACTTCTTCGTGATTTTCATTTTGTAAAAAGAAATATTTGACAACTGTTGGTCTAAAACAAAACGTTTCATTTCTATTTGATGATTTCAACACTTACCGAAGTTGACCTTTCACCAAATAAATGCATCCATATGCACCGTAGCTTAGCAATTTATCCTCAACAGAAATGTCGTTGATCATTAAATGAAAATGAATGAATCTATTTGATTTGTAAGAGCCAATATAGCTTGGTATTACACAATAGTTTGGCCAAAAAAATGCGGTTCAATTTGGTGTTTGCGTTGTGCAATCAAAATCCTTATTTCGAAAGAAAAATCAATTTTAGGAAGCAAAGCCAAAGGCCAAGCAGTCATAAAGCTTTCAAAAGGCTCAAGTAAATTTTTCACATCGCATCGCGAATCGCAAGAATTGAAAGAAATTGAACGTAAATATTTTGGTACTTTTCTGTTTTCTGTTATACCTGAAATCTTATATTAATGTAATTTGCATCTAAAGAAACATTTTTGCATTTAACATTTTAACATTTGTCTAACTATTGAATTGTGTGAATTGCGAAAATTTGAAAGATTCCGATTTATTGCACCATTCTTGGGAGACATTTAACAAAAACAAAAAGTCGTTCACTTATAACACATTAAGTTTACAAAAATTTGCACATAACATTTGTCTAAACTGAATTGATCGATGTTTTTTGACCTGTCTCTTCAAAGACTCCATTGAGATGAGTAATTCTTTGGGGCGATCGAGATCGAGAAAGGGGGCAATAGATTCATCAATTCCTCCACTTTGAGTCGTTCATCTCTGAAAAGTTTAATCAAGGCTGGGCGGATATTCGGATCCAAATCCGAGATCCGGAATACGACATTTGTTGTGCCAGTGACCAAAAAGAGAGAAAGCTTCATGTATTTATTTACTGGGCCAAGTGCTCAACGGTTTTCACAAATGAACGTATAAGAGTATTTTCATCGTTGTTAGTTTGGTTCTTGTTATTGCACATGTCACCACTGCAGCAGTGATGTCGGACTTTCCCAAAGATGTTGATGCCCTCGTGCTGAAGTGGGTTCAAGATAAAATATAGGAATTCTTGTATGCCTAATCATTCTTATTGAAATTATCACCCCGCAAAGGTTAATCGGCGCCCCAGACTTGGGAATAAAACATCCGCAACTCCAGACGTATTTGTTGTCTGGCTGAACGTTATTTAATTCAAAGAATGTAAAATTAGCAAACTTGGAAGTAATACGATACGCAGTAGTCGCCACATAGGCAGGTGGACGATCGCTAAAATTGCTGAATCGTAGTCTAGTTGGAAATTTAAAAAATAAAATATTTAGATAGTTAGATCAATGGTTTTACTAGTCTCTTCAGTCAACTCAAAACTTTAAAATGTAAATAACTTTCAACAATACCTCGGAACCATCAAGCTGAGGACTATCCTTGAAAGCTTCAACACACTCCAGAGCCACCGTGACCTGGATCAAGGCTAGCACGAGAAAGATTGTCTTCATCTAAAGTTTCTTTGTAAATACTTAATTTAAAGTCTAAAGTAAGTCTTGGACATCAGTATCTTTTGAAGAAGAATCAAAGCGCCCAAAGGCAGTAAAATTTTGAGTAGAAAATACAATGAAAATAAAATGAAAAGAAATTGAAATCATAGCTTAAAGTGACTCAAGTCGAGGAATTCTTGAAGAGATTCGTCACGCTCCAATTAGAACAAATGAAGAAAATGATAAGTTTCTTGCTTTTAACATCTAGAGCTCAATGCTATCGGATGTATATCGGATGCTATCGGACAACTTGAAAGTTGGTACACTTGTTCCACGCACTTTTTAGAGATAACTAGTGCACGAATTAATCTACATTTTCTACCAATAAAATGGGCCATTTATTCTCTAAAACTAAATCTAAATTTAGAAAAGCTTTGGTTTTATAGGTTTCTAGGGGGCAAGAAGTTGAGGATCCAAAAATGATGAACACTCGATGAAGGGATTTGAGCACGTTCTTCCACATAAACCTACTTTAGTGTCAATAAGAAAAGAGAACGAGTTAGATAAATAGCCAAATTTTCAGCTAGATCTAATCAATCGCTTTTGTCATTGTTGCATTTGAAGAATTTTCAGAGAAATTTGAATTTCTGCTCAAATTCGTTTCAAAAGTTCCCCAAATTTGCTTAAGCATGGCTTAAATTAGATAAAATATAACTTTTATTTAGGGAAGTCTAATTGAATTGGCGTATTAAATATGTTTTATAGAAAATAGGAAAAAGTGTACCAACTTTCAAGTTGCCAATCTAATAGTTGTTGATTTTCACTAAAACGATTGCTATTTTATACCAATCGGCTCTACATTTTCTCTATTGTTTAGGCAAAATAACAAAGATGATTAATTTTCTGGACAAAGAAACTATTGAAAACGTTGATTACTGTTTATGTTGAGCTGTCACTTCCATGAAAAAATGAATTTTGTGTTTTCGCTTAAAAGTCTTCTTTTCATCGCGCCTTTTGGCTTCAAATCACAAAATACCTTTTTCTGAAATTTCTTGCAAATAAAGTAAGGTTTATTGGTTAGCCGAGAAAATTGAAAGATACACTCTAATTGCATAAAAAGTGACTAGAAGAATATCAATCAGAACGAGCAACAATGTTAGTACAGCTAGAGACAAAACAAAACAAAATTTCAATCGCCTTCCTTGACTTGTTTAATTCTTGTGGTTCCTCCTTATGCCCCGATTGAGTCGTGAATGTAGGACTCAATCCCGGTCAGCGAATTCCAACGACCGGCGGCGACAAAGAGCTTTGAGTGACGGTGCTTTGAGTGCTTTGAGTGATTTAATTCTTGTGGTTCCTCCTAAGCCTTCCTCCTAAATTTTTTGCTCAAAGAAATTATTGAAAACGTTGATTACTGTTTATGTTGAGCTGTCACTTTCATGAAAAGATCAATTCTTTCCCATTTTTTGTAACAGGTAGGTTGTAAGTGCATGAATCTTAAGTTGAAATATCGTTACGTTTTTGGTAAATAATTCTGTAAGAATAAGATTTCATTTACATGTCAAATCTTGAGTAAAACAGAGATTGAGAAATGAGAGCTGAATCCAAATCTAGATCCAAATCCAAATGAGATCCAAATCTATAAGGCTTTTTTTTGACACATTTACAATCTCTTTAATACAAGAATTACCGCAACAACGTCGTATTATGTTATGAGCCCCATTTCACTTTTTGCTTACCTGTTTTCATGGTAAGTAAAAAGTGGTTTTTGTGTATTTTTCTTACCCTCGATGATGCCTATTTGCTCACCACAGTCAACGCGTTTCCCAAACGTTTGCGGGTCTGAATGCCGATGGAGGCAAAGTTGAGTTTAATTGTTAATTTATTACTGTTATATGTTGAATAAAGATATTTAAGTTAACTTTTCGAGATGGGTTGCATACTTGGTTAAAAGCCAGGCCTTTTTTGTGTTGCGGTAATCCTTGGTCACCCTGTAGTCAGATTAATCACATGATCAATGACACGATTGATCCTCTCTTGTTCATTGAGTTCAGAAAACTATATTCTTTAAAGAGTTCTCAACTCTAAAGATCAAAAATTGAAGAGTTCAGAAACTTCTTTCTTGCTCAAAAGGTGTTAAAGCCCAGAGATTTTTGACCCTTTAACGTTTGACTCAGAGAAGTAATGATTCAGTCTAGCCTAGAAACATCACTGAAGGCCTGATCTGACCTATCTCCTGCATTAGTTCATTAAGGTATTCAATTTTAAATCTATTTGTCTTTCTGTCATACGGTAAATTCTAACGTCCAATAACTTAAGAATACGCCTTTATGGTTTGAGCATTTACATGAGGAAAAACGAGGAACAATACTTAGCAAACATTTTGTTAAAACATTTCCTTTGTTGGGAAATTTAAGAGGAACCACAAGAATTAAATAAGCCAAGAAAGGTGATTGAAATTTTGTTTTGCTTTGTCTCTAGCTGTACTAACATTGTTGCTCGTTCTGATTGATATTCTTCTAGTCACTCTTTATGCAATCAGAGTGTATCTTTCAATTCTCTCTGTTAACCAATAAACCTTACTTTATTTGCGAGAAATTGCACAAAAAGGTATTTTGTGATTTGAAGCCAAAAGGCGCAATGAAAAGAAGACTTTTAAGCGAAAACACAAAATTGATTTTTTCATGGAAATGACAGCTCAACATAAACAGTAATCAACGTTTTCAATAATTTCTTTCAGCAAAAAATTAATCATCTTTGTTATTTTACCTAAAGAATAAAGAAAATTGATATAAAATGACAATCGTTTTAGTGAAAATCAACAACTATTAGATTGGCAGCTTGAAATTTGGTACACTTTTTCCTATTTTCTATAAAACATTTTTAATACGCCAATTCAATTAAACTTCTCTAAATAAAAGTTATATTTTGTCTAATTTAAGCCATGCTTAAGCAAATTTGGGGAACTTCTGAGACGAATTTGGGCAGAAATTCAAATTTCTCTGAAAAGCGATTGATTAGATCTAGCTGAAAATTTGGCTATTTATCTAACTCGTTTTCTTTTCTTATCGACACTAAAGTAGGTTTATGTGGAAGAACGTGCTCAAATCCCTTCATCGAGTGTTCATCATTTTTGGATCCTCAACTTCTTGCCCCCTGGAAACCTATAAAACCGAAGCTTTTCTAAATCTGTCAAAAGCCTGTTTTAGAGAATAAATGGCCCATTTTATTGGTAGAAAATGTAGATTAATTCGTTCACTAGTTATTTCCAAAAAGTGTGTTGAACAAGTGACCAACTTTCAAGTTGTCAGCCTAATACATCCGATAGCATTGAGCTCCAGCTGTTAAAAGCAAGAAACATCATTTTCTTCATTTGTTCTAATTGGAGTGTGACGAATCTCTTCAAGAATTCCTCGACTTGAATCACTTTAAGCTATGATTTCAATTTCTTTTCATTTTATTTTCATTCTACTCAAATTTTACTGCCTTTGGGCGCTTTGATTCTTCTTCAAAAGATACTGATGTCAAAGACTTACTTTAGACTTTAAATTAAGTATTTACAAAGAAACTTCAGATGAAGACAATCCTTCTCGTGCTAGCCTTGATCCAAGTCACGGTGGCTCTGGAGTGTGTCGATGCTTTGAAAGATAGTCCTCAGCTTGATGGTTCCGAGGTATTGTTGAAAGTTATTTACATTTTAAAGTTTTGAGTTGACTGAAGAGACTAGTGAAACCATTGATCTAACTATCTAAATATTTTATTTTTTTAATTTCCAACTAGACTACGATTCAGCAATTTTAGCGATCGTCCACCTGCCTATGTGGCGACTACTGCGTATCGTATTACTACCAAGTTTGCTAATTTTACATTCTTTGAATTAAATAACGTGCAGCCAGAGAACCTATACGTATGGACTTGCGGCTGTTTGATTCCCGGGTCTGAAGCGTCGGTGAACTTATGCAAGGTGATAATTTCAATAAAAATAATTAGGCATACTCAAGAATTCCTATATTTTATCCTGAACCCACTTCAGCACGAGGGCTTCAACAAAGTTGGGAACGTCCGACCTCACTGCTGCAGTGGTGACATGTGCAATAAGAGCCAAACTATATTATGAAAATACTCTTATACGTTCATTTGTGAAAACCGTTGAGCACTTGGCCCAGTAAATAAATACATGAAGCTTTCTCTCTTTTTGGTCACTGGCACAACAAATGTCGTATTCCGGATCTCGGATTTGGATCCGAATATCCGCCCAGCCTTGATTAAACTTTTCAGAGATGAACGACTCAAAGTGGAGGAATTGATGAATCTATTGCCCCCTTTCTCGATCTCGATCGCCCCAAAGAATTACTCATCTCAATGGAGTCTTTGAAGAGACAGGTCAAAAAACATCGATCAATTCAGTTTAGACAAATGTTATGTGCAAATTTTTGTAAACTTAATGTGTTATAAGTGAACGACTTTTTGTTTTTGTTAAATGTCTCCCAAGAATGGTGCAATAAATCGGAATCTTTCAAATTTTCGCAATTCACACAATTCAATAGTTAGACAAATGTTAAAATGTTAAATGCAAAAATGTTTCTTTAGATGCAAATTACATTAATATAAGATTTCAGGTATAACAGAAAACAGAAAAGTACCAAAATATTTACGTTCAATTTCTTTCAATTCTTGCGATTCGCGATGCGATGTGAAAAATTTACTTGAGCCTTTTGAAACCTTTATGACTGCCTGGCCTTTGGCTTTGCTTCCTAAAATTGATTTTCCTTTCGAAATAAGGATTTTGATTGCACAACGCAAACACCAAATTGAACCGCATTTTTTCAGCCAAATTATTGTGTAGTACCAAGCTATATTGGCTCTTACAAATCAAATAGATTCATTCATTTTCATTTAATGATCAACGACATTTCTGTTGAGGATAAATTGCTAAGCTACGGTGCATATGGATGCATTTATTTGGTGAAAGGTCAACTTCGGTAAGTGTTGAAATCATCAAATAGAAATGAAACGTTTTGTTTTTAGACCAACAGTTGTCAAATATTTCTTTTACAAAATGAAAATCACGAAGAAGTGTTTGAGAAAGAATGCAAAGCTCTGGAGAACTTCAAGCATCGAAATATTGTCGAGTATTTCGGGAAAGCGCCGAGAACTTCGAAAAACGGGCACACTAACGGGATTTTACTTGAGTATTGCGAGAGAGGATCGTTAAATAAAGGTGATACATGAATAAGTAAAGGTACTAACTTTAAATTTTAGTAATCTTTGACTCAAAGTTGATCTACTCGATGAAAACGGTGATCGAATGGGGTAAACAAATGTTTGATGCTCTTGATTATTTGGCTAAACATTGCTCATTTCATAGAGATGTGAAAACGGAAAAGTAAGATTTAACAAGATAAACAAACCTCTGTTGAGATCTCAAATCAACGGTCGGGTCCGTTTCCTTCCTATTTGCGTTGCTATTTTGCAATTATTCGCGTCGCATTTTTCGTCTTTTTTGCTCCCTTCTCAAAATTGTTTTTTCTGGTCTGGAGGTTTTTGCCTTCTTTCTGGGGGGACTTTGTTGTTTCTATTGATGCGCATGCTGTTTTTTAATGGGTATTGTTGCATTTTGGTTTTGTACTAATAAACAGTAAAATTATAAATTCAACTTACTTTATGCTACCCTTCAGGTTTTAACTTCCTGTTTAGATAACTGGTTTAACATTGTAGAGAGAGCTTACTAACATTTGTGTCGCCACCGACGAGTATTAATCTTATGTTAGATACTACGTGTTCTTGTTACGTTGTAAGCGCTTTGGGGAAACCGTTTTAACCTCTTGTGCTATTCGGTCATTCTTAAGCAGAATCATCCTCGATGATAAGGTTAAAGCGGGTCGCACCCCAAACTCAACAATCAAATAGCTCAGATTTGAAACTGAAGTCTAACTCATATCAAGACTGATTACTCAACGACTACTATCAATTTCATTGCTTGAAGTAGTACAATCCATTATTTCATTGTACATAAATGTTGTATTCAATTAAAATTAAACTTTAGCATTTTGGTTACCGGTGACTATGTGGTGAAATTGTGCGATTTTGGCTGCATTCGTATCAATGAGAGAACTTGTTCTGCAACCGTTGCAGGAACCTATCGATTTATGGCTCCCGAAGCAGTTGGGCTAACAGCTCCTTGCTTGGTGAGTTGCTCTAAATAAGACAGTTTACAAGACTTATCCCAGGCTACATCGAAAAACGATGTCTATGGAGCTGGCCTTGTTCTATGGGAACTTATTGAGAGAAGGTTTTACCCACATCTACCAGTAGCAAAATTTAAATTTCAGAATGGCTTTTGAGGCTTATATACAGAAAGATGCAAGAGGGATCAATCATTTCGATTGGAACACTTTTATTCATAAAGTTTGGGTGGAACGAGTCGATTCGTTGTCACCTCCCACATGTGATCTTGCTCTTCAACAATTAATCGAAAGGTTCGTCGTGAACGTGTGAATTTGATTATATTTTGAGAAGACTGAAAGACTGAATAGATTCCATTAGAGTTAAAATGAGAAAACTTATTCAGATGCACTCATTCCGATTATCAACGACGCGCCGCAGCTGCACAGGTGGTCTGTGATTTGGATCTTTTAAGCTCGGTAAGGGTTGACTATTCTGAAACCATTTAAATGAGGATTCCAGTCTAATTTACCATTTAGGAATACAGCCGCTACGATTTCCAACCATTCATAGATGAAGAACAGCGAACTATCATTCGACCGATTGGTTTTGATAACACTTTTCAAAAATCTCCAATAACTGGTCTCGAAAAGACCGGCTCAACATTTGCCGCTTCCTCAATTACTCCTTTTTCTCCAGTAAAAGAAGATCAAGATGATCTAAGCGATGAGATCCGAAATCCGGAATACGACATTTGTTGTGCCAGTGATCAAAAAGAGAGAAAGCTTCATGTATTTATTTACTTGGCCAAGTGCTCAACGGCTTTCACAAATCAACGTATAAGAGTATTCTCATAGTTGCTAGTTTGGTTCTTGTTATTGCACATGTCACCACTGCAGCAGTGAGCTCGGATGTGCGCCGCAAAGATGTTGACGCCCTCGTGCTGAAGTGGGTTCAAGGTAAAATATAGGAATTCTTGAGTATGCCTAATTATTCTTATTGAAATTATCACCTTGCAAAAGTTCATCGTCGCTCCAGAATCGGTAACCCAACAGGCGCAACTCCAGATGTATCTGTGCTCTACATTCAAAGAATGTAAAATTAGCAAACTCGGTAGTAATACGATACGCAGTAGTCGCCACATAGGCAGGTCTTCGATCGCTAAAATTGCTGAATCGTAGTCTAGTTGGAAATTAAAAAAATAAAATATTTAGATAGTTAGATCAATGGTCTTACTAGTCTCTTCAGTCAATTCAAAACTTTAAAATGTAAATAACTTTCAACAATACCTCGGAACCATCAAGCTGAGGACTATCTTTCAAAGCATCGACACACTCCAGAGCCACCGTGACTTGGATCAAGGCTAGCACGAGAAGGATTGTCTTCATCTGAAGTTTCTTTGTAAATACTTAATTTAAAGTCTAAAGTAAGTCTTGGACATCAGTATCTTTTGAAGAAGAATCAAACAAATGAAGAAAATGATGTTTCTTGCTTTTAACAGCTGGAGCTCAATGCTATCGGATGTATTAGGCTGACAACTTGAAAGTTGGTACACTTGTTCAACACACTTTTAGAAATAACTAGTGCACGAATTAATCTACATTTTCTACTTTTTCTATAAAATGGGCCATTTATTCTCTAAAACAAGCTTTTGACAGATTTAGAAAAGCTTTGGTTTTATAGGTTTCTAGGGGGCAAGAAGTTGAGGATCCAAAAATGATGAACACTCGATGAAGGGATTTGAGCACTTTCTTCCACATAAACCTACTTTAGTGTCAATAAGAAAAGAGAACGAGTTAGATAAATAGCCAAATTTTCAGCTAGATCTAATCAATCGCTTTTGTTATAGTTGCATTTAAAGAATTTTCAGAGAAATTTGAATTTCTGCTCAAATTCGTTTCAGAAGTTCCCCAAATTTGCTTAAACATGGCTTAAATTAGATAAAATATAACTTTTATTGAGAGAAGTTTAATTGAATTGGCGTATTAAATATGATTTATAGAAAATAGGAAAAAGTGTACCAACTTTCAAGCTGCCAATCTAATAGTTGTTGATTTTCACTAAAATGATTGTCATTTTATATCAATTTTCTTTATTCTTTAGGTAAAATAACAAAGATGATTAATTTTTTGCTCAAAGAAATTATTGAAAACTTTGATTACTGTTTATGTTGAGCTGTCACTTCCATGAAAAAATGAATTTTGTGTTTTCGCTTAAAAGTCTTCTTTTCATCGCGCCTTTTGGCTTCAAATCACAAAATACCTTTTTGTGCAATTTCTCGCAAATAAAGTAAGGTTTATTGGTTAACAGAGAGAATTGAAAGATACACTCTGATTGCATAAAGAGTGACTAGAAGAATATCAATCAGAACGAGCAACAATGTTAGTACAGCTAGAGACAAAGCAAAACAAAATTTCAATCACCTTTCTTGGCTTATTTAATTCTTGTGGTTCCTCTTAAATTTTTTGCTCAAAGAAATTTTTGAAAACGTTGATGACTGTTTATGTTGAGCTGTCACTTTCATGAAAAGATCAATTCTTTCCCATTTTTTGTAACAGGTAGGTTGTAAGTGCTTGAATTTTAAGTTGAAATATCGTTAAGTTTTTGGTAAATAATTCTGTAAGAATAGGATTTCATTTACATGTCAAATCTTGAGTAAAACAGAGATTGAGAAATGAGAGCTGAAAAAAGAGATCCAAATCTATAAGGCTTTATTTTGACACATTTACAATCTCTTTAATAAAGGATGACCAAGAATTACCGCAACAACGTCGTATTATGTTATGAGCCCCATTTCACTTTTTGCTTACCTGTTTTTATGGTAAGCAAAAAGGGGTTTTTGTGTATTTTTCTTACCCTCGACGATGCCTATTTGCTCACCACGGTCAACGCGTTTCCCAAACGTTTGCGGGTCTGAATGCCGATGGAGGCAAAGTTGAGTTTAATTGTTAATTTATTACTGTTATATGTCTTCACTTTTTGGGAGGATCCATGCACCATGCATTAGCTTTCACTTTTATATTCTGAATATCAAAATGTTTAGGGGTAAGTAATTGATACATTGACTCAAAATCGATTTTTGAAACAACTTGCGAGAAATTGCACAAAAAGGTATTTTGTGATTTGGAGCCAAATGCGCAATGAAAAGAAAACTTTTAAGCGAAAACACAAAATTGATTTTTTCATGGAAGTGACAGCTCAACATAAACAGTAATCAACGTTTTCAATAATTTCTTTGAGCAAAAAATTAATCATCTTTGTTATTTTACCTAAAGAATAAAGAAAATTGATATAAAATGACAATCGTTTTAGTGAAAATCAACAACTATTAGATTGGCAGCTTGAAAGTTGGTACACTTTTTCCTATTTTCTATAAAACATATTTAATACGCCAATTCAATTAAACTTCTCTCAATAAAAGTTATATTTTATCTAATTTAAGCCATGCTTAAGCAAATTTGGGGAACTGAGACGAATTTGAGCAGAAATTCAAATTTCTCTGAAAATTCTTCAAATGCAACTATAACAAAAGCGATTGATTAGATCTAGCTGAAAATTTGGCTATTTATCTAACTCGTTCTCTTTTCTTATTGACACTAAAGTAGGTTTATGTGGAAGAACGTGCTCAAATCCCTTCATCGAGTGTTCATCATTTTTGGATCCTCAACTTCTTGCCCCCTAGAAACCTATAAAACCAAAGCTTTTCTAAATCTGTCAAAAGCCTGTTTTAGAGAATAAATGGCCCATTTTATAGAAAAAGTAGAAAATGTAGATTAATTCGTGCACTAGTTATTTCTAAAAAGTGTGTTGAACAAGCGTACCAACTTTCAAGTTGTCAACCTAAAACATCTGATAGCATTGAGCTCCAGATGTTAAAAGCAAGAAACATCATTTTCTTCATTTGTTCTAATTGGAGCGTGACGAGTCTCTTCAAAAATTCCTCTACTTGAATCACTTTAAGCTATGATTTCAATTTCTTTTCATATTATTTTCATTGTACTTTCTACTCAAATTTTACTGCATTTGCGCGCTTTGATTCTTCTTCAAAAGATACTGATGTCCAAGACTTGCTTTAGACTTTAAATTAAGTATTTACAAAGAAACTTCAGATGAAGACAATCCTTCTCGTGCTAGCCTTGATCCAAGTCACGGTGGCTCTGCGGTGTGTCGACGCTTTGAAAGATAGTCCTCAGCTTGATGGTTCCGAGGTATTCTTAAAAGTCATTGATATTTTAAAGTTTTGAGTTGACTGAAGAGACTAGTAAAACCATTGATCTAACTATCTAAATATTTTATTTTTTTAATTTCCAACTAGACTACGATTCAGCAATTTTAGCGATCGAAGACCTGCCTATGTGGCGACTACTGCGTATCGTATTACTACCAAGTTTGCTAATTTTACATTCTCTGAATTAAATAACGTTCAGTCAGAGAACAAATACGCCTGGGATTGCGGCTGTTTGATGATCGACTTTGCAGAGTCGTTGAACCTTTGCGGGGTGATAATTTCAATAAGAATAATTAGGCATACGCAAGAATTCCTATATTTTATCTTGAACCCACTTCAGCACGAGGGCATCAACATCTTTGGGGACGTCCGACCTCACTGCTGCAGTGATGACATGTGCAATAAGAAGGACCAAACTAGCAACAATGAAAATCCTCTTATACGTTCATTTGTGGAAGCCGTTGAGCACTTGGCCAAGTAAATAAATACATGAAGCTTTCTCTCTTTTTGATCACTGGCACAACAAATGTCGTATTCTGGATTTCGGATTTGGATCCGAATATCAGCCCAGCCTTGATTAACGGCAAAAAATTTACAGAAATCATTTTTAAATCTAAGATTGCACAAATAGGACTATTTTATCACTGTTCTTTGAAACTCAAAAGATTTTGTCTCATTCTTTGATGACACCGAATGGAATGGATCTGTTTGGTTGATGAATTTAATTGCTGTTGGAGTGTCAAATTCAAGATTTTGTTCTTACACTAATTCGAGTGAATCACATACTACACTGGTCAATTAAAATGTTTAACGTTTTGATCATCAGCATAACATTTGTCCATTTGTGAACCAGCCGAAAAACTCGTCTAACGGCGGGCTGTCACACTCAGGTTAGTTCGCTTTATGCAATCGAAAGGTAGCCTCAGTTTTCCCAATTTTGTTTGCTTTTTTCTCTAGCTGTACTAACATTGTTGCTCGTTCAGATTGATATTCTTTGTCCCGTAACAAATGTTAGTCACTCTTTATGCAATTAGAGGGTATGTTTCATTTTTCTCTGCTAACCAAGCATGGCCTTTTTTCATCGAGCCCTTTGGAACGTTCAAATTATTTGTCATGGTTTACTTATGGGCCCGACTAAAATTCTCGTCCCATCAACAATAAAAAACTCAGCATTTGACTCGGAATACGCAAAATTTCCACTTTTGTTTATTAAGATCGACTTCACTCCCCCATCGGGGTTTAAAGTCCGCCAATAAACCTTACCTTACCTGCGAGAAAGTACAGAAAAAGGTATTTTGTGATTTGGAGCAAAAGGCGCAATGAAATGAAGACTTTGAAGCGAAAACACAAAATATGATTTTGTGTATTGGCTACCGTAGAACTTTTTTGTCTTTTCTTAAAACGCTCTCTTTTTGAGTATTTAAAGAGAGTTTTGGAAGGGAAAATCATTCTGATCTAATTGTTTAGCAGATTTATCTAGTAACCCACCCACCCGGACCGATTAAAGTATTTAAATAACCATCCCCCTTTTCAATAAGCATCTCTAACGTTTACTAATTTTAGATCTGGTATTGAAGAAATGGCGACCGACTATACAAGTGGTCAACTCTCTTCACTTGCCTCTAACCTTCATTGAGAAGATCAACACCATCGCCTCAAGTGAAAACGTTGACATCATTGCCGTTGACCCTTCACATGTACACAAAATCCGAGAAAACCAGAAAGCCTTATGTCAAAGACAAAGGCAGCGAACCGGAGGGTCCTTTGGTACTTTGGACGTCCGTTGACTTTGGGAATCAAGCCACAAGCGATAAGGATGCAAGAACCGTGATCATGGCTTTGCGGATGTTTTTGTCGTTACTACGCATCTCAGAAGCTGCCGCCTTTCAATGGAAAGACGTCACAGAGGAATAACCGTTCACGTGGAAGATCTTCATCAACGACAAACTAGCTAAGGGTAAAAACACATTCATCTCGTTCGAGAATCAATGCCAAGCTGAAAAGCCCTGGAATTCCTGGAAGTAAGAAGGAAGAAAAGGACCACATCAAGAACACTTCTTTCAGCCTCAGGACCGCCGTCAAGCATCTCAAAGAATTCCTCGCCATGCTGGGACTGCAAGGACAAAATTCGCACTCACTTAGGGCAGGAGGAGTGGCAACGGAAGCGGCCAAGGGAACGTCACTCAAAGCTCTTTGTCGCCGAGGTCGTTGGAATTCGCTGGCCGGGATGGAGTCCTACATTCACGACTCAATCGGGGCATAAGGAGGAACCACAAAAATTAAATAAGCCAAGGAAGGCGATTGAAATTTTGTTTTGTTTTGTTTCTAGCTGTACTAACATTGTTGCTCATTCTGATTGATATTCTTCTAGTCACTCTTATGCAATTAGAGTGTATCTTTCAATTTTCTCGGCTAACCAATAAACCTTACTTTATTTGCAAGAAATTTCAGAAAAAGGTATTTTGTGATTTGAAGCCAAAAGGCGCGATGAAAAGAAGACTTTTAAGCGAAAACACAAAATTCATTTTTTCATGGAAGTGACAGCTCAACATAAACAGTAATCAACGTTTTCAATAGTTTCTTTGTCCAGAAAATTAATCATCTTTGTTATTTTGCCTAAACAATAGAGAAAATGTAGAGCCGATTGGTATAAAACAGCAATCGTTTTAGTGAAAATCAACAACGATCTATTTAAAGTATTCAAGCAAAAGGTAAGCTTCAGTAACTTGTCGGTTAAGTTTAAAATTATACCTTTATCGAAAAGTCAAGCAACGACTGTAGAATGGTTTGTTTTAATCTTGAAATGATCAATTTGAGATTCATTTTCAGTAGATCTCTCACTCCTCAGAAATTTAGTTTTGGCTTGGGTGTCAATTAGTGGAAGTTCCCCTATCTGTCTTCTGTCAAAACTATAAAGTCAACAGGTTACGCTATCCAAAAGCTTCAATATAAAAAGGATTATGGTATTCTCTGATTGCAATGTAAGAACTTGGTTTTGCATTGTATTCTACATCCTAAAGCATTGAGTTCCAGATGAAGACGATCCTTGTCGTGTTCGCCTTGATCCAAGTCTCAGTGACTCTGGAGTGTGTTAACGCTGTTAAAGACAGTACACAACTTGATGGTTCCGAGGTATTCTTGAAAGTCATTGATATCTTAAAGTTTTTAGTTAACTGAAGAGATTAGTAAAGCCATTCATCTAACTATCTAACTATTTTATTTTTTGAATTTCCAACTAAACTACGATTCAGCAATTTTAGCGATCGAATACCTGCCTATGTGGCGACTACTGCGTATCGTATTACTACCAAGTTTGCTAATTTTACATTCCCTGAATTTAATAACATTCAGGAAAAGCAGAAATACGCCTGGAGTTGCGGCTGTTTGCTTGATCCCGGATCTGTATCGGAGCTGGACAGTTGCACGGTGATAATTTCAATAAGAATGATTAGGCATACTCAAGAATTCCTCTATTTTTTCTTAAACCCACTTTAGCACGATGGCATGAACCACTTTGGGGGTGTATTTTATGGACACCAGATTTACTGCTGCAGTGGTGACCTGTGCAATAACAAGAACCTATCTAGCATTGGAAAACCTCAGGAAAACCTGCGTTCATTTGTGAAAGCGCACTTGGTCAAGTAAATAAATACATGAAGCTTTCTCTGTTTTTGATCACTAGCACAACAAATGTCGTATTCCGGATTTCGGATTTGGATCCGAATATCCGCCCAGCCTTGATTAACGGCAAAAAATTTACAGAAATCATTTTTGAATCTAAAATTGCACAAATAGGACTATTTTATCACTGTTCCTTGAAACACAAAAGATTTGATCTCATTCTTTGATGAAACGGACCGGAATGGATCTATTTGGTTTCTGAATTTAATTGCTGCTTGAGTGTCAAATTCAAGGTTTTTGTTCTTACACTAATTCGAGTGAATCACATACTTCACTGGTCAATTAAAATGTTTAACGTTTTGATTATCAGCAAAACTTTTGTCCATTTGTGAACCAGCCGAGAAACTCGTCTAACGGCGGGTTTTCACACTCAGGTTAGCTCGCTTCATGCAATCGAAAGGTGGCCTCAGTTTCCTAAATGGACCTCACACCAAGCATGGCCTTTTTTCATCGAGCCCTATGGAAAGTTCAAATTATTTGTCATGGTTTAATTGGAATATAGACACATGCATCACTGATCAATTAAAATGTTTTTCAATATCATCATAACCACTACTTTTGTCTGTTTGTAAAGTAATCTTTAGTCAGGTAATTTTCTGTTAGTCTGTTGGAAATTTAATCGCTGTTTATTGAAGTCTGTTTTATCGAATCAATTTTTGTCGCAGTGGAACTTGGGAAATGACATAGAACAAATCCGCTCCGAGCTCGTTCCTTCTTTCCTGAGTTTGTCCAACTTTTCCAATAGTTTATTTGCCAGTCTGGTTGCCGTTTCCATGCAGTTTTCTCTCTGAAAGTCAAGTCAAAGATTTAACAACAATTTATCAGCCAAAGTCAACACTCACACTCTCAACAATCGTCGAATCATTCTCATATCCGATGCAAATGATCATAAACTGTTCCATCATCCAATCTGAAGTCATCAGCACTCTCGCACTACTGCCCACATTCCAGAAATCAAGCATTGTTTGGACATGTTCCTATAAAGCAAATTATATTAAGCTGTAAAAAAGGAACGAAGAGCCTTTTTGGATAGCCTAATATCAAGAACTTTCAAAACTAACCGGGCAAAAACGACAAAATCCGCTACGGGACAGTGTTTTTGATTCAATTGTAAACGTTTGAGCAACAAAAACTGCAGAAAATAGAAGGAATACGTTGTGCATTAGAAAAAATAGAAGAAATTTATCTAATTTCAATGAAAGCTTGAGTCTCATGCCAAACCGTGTTGCATTGAATTGCTTTTGTAATTGAAAGTGAATAATCTGTGCGTAATAACATCGCTTTTTTAGAGAATGCGCTTTCTTTTTCTCCCAGTCAAAGATTCTTTGGAATTGATGGGTTGAATTCAATTTATCAAAAATTTTGACTAAACAAAACAATTCAAAACAATTTTTGCCCTTTGGAAAGCCTCAATTTTGTTTTCGAAAAAGAGTAACCACCAAAAAAAACTCCTAAATCCCGTAATTTAGAGAACTCGTAAAACATATTTTTCTCAGAACAGCTCTTTGAAAGAATTCAGCTTTCATCAATTGTTGGGTGTTCCGCTTTAAATACTAAACGCTCTTAAATATTAAATGAATAACACAGCGATATTTAGACAGCGATATTTAGATCTAAATATCGCTGACCAAAAAAATTAGCTGCCCAAAGTAACTACAATTAGCTGCCCAAAGTAACTAAACTCTACAACAAGAAATGGAGCCAATAAAGAGCAAAAATAAGGTTTTTGGCCCTACTTGACGGGACTGGAACTTTTATTGAATCAATATTTTTGAATAATCTTTTTTGCATGTAAAATTAAAGAAATTGAAAGAGATTAAAAAATAGTAAAATTTGGATTGCAAAACTATTTCTTTTATTTTACATTTCAAAGCAGATTTTAGCCAAAGTTAATGAACTTTTTTATAGGAAAATCTTAAGTTTCTATAATTAATGAAAGTTTATTTTTCAGTTTCACTCAAGTTTTATTACACGCAAAAAAGATTATTCAAAAATATTGCTTCAGTAAAAAGTTTCAGTCCCGTCAAGTAGGGCCAAAAACCTTATTTTTGCTCTTTATTGGCTCCATTTCTTCTTGCAGAGTTACTTTGGGCAGCCAATTCTTTTTGGTCAGCGATATTTAGATCTATGAGGTATGACTCATCCCTAACGGTCTCCTCCACTTCTGATCATTCCCTGGTAAGGTAATCTTAAAACTAGCACAGCATTTGATATGCCCAAACTTATTCGGTGGAGAATTCCATAGTCTAACAACTCTTGAGCAAAAAGATTCAAGCCCTATTTTCGATTTACAAGGAGAATTACGTAAAAGTAGAGTGACTACAATCAGTGTTCTTTTTTACTTTAGCATGAGGATTACTTTATCCATTTCTTTTGAGGATACAATCTTAACAAAAAATATTTTTTAATTGCTACAATAACGTTTGGTGTTGTTCATTTAGTATTTAAGAGGTAACATTTGATGGCTTTAGTCATTCAGCAAAGCTAAGAGTTTCAAGAAAAATAGCCTTTCTATTTTTGAATCTTTAAACTTACAAGTTTATTTCTAGATTTAGTTTGGATTTTGTTCACATTTAAACTCAAGTTCGGTAATGACAAACTTGTTGAAAGTACCTTGGGCGAAAATTGGCGAAGTTGTCGAGGTACTTGTCGTTGGATCGACCATAACAGGTTGGGATTGTTAAACTAGCTTTTATAAAGCGCACTTATTTTGACCATTTTTTTCTTATAAAATAGCTCCACTTCCAATTCCAGTTCTCGGTAATGTTTGCCAAATGATCAAGTTTGATCTAATGTCTCAACGTGCCGCCAGCTTCAAGTCAGATCCAACTCAACCGGGACTCCTTGAGATCAGTCCCACGACAATGTTGGAAATTCAAAAATTTTCGGATTTAGGATGCGTCTTGGTGAGTTTTGTTATAAAAAAGAATAAAACTCATTTGCATGCAGGTACTTTTCGTTGCCATTTTCACAAACCTGTTCGCGATTTATTATTCGGCCAAAAACGACGATTTATTGCTGAGTGTTCGGTAAGTTTACTGTATTGTATCTCTTTACTGAAGTCTCAAGTTTAATTATAAAGGCACTTAGATAACTACAGTATAAATTTGATTGGATCTTTCAAAAAAGAACTTTTCAGGCTAATCCTGACGGGCGAAAATGTGCAACGATTCGTCTATACGATAATTCAAATGGCGAGCTACTTGTGCACAGTCTTTTCGATTGCTGGGTAAAAAACCTTATGAGACTTGTACATGATACCAAAAACCTCTACTGATTAGTCTTATTGTTATTGTTTTTACAAAGAATATACCTGAGAATTGGCTTTAATAGCATCAAATTAATTATTTGCCACAACCTATTCTAACGGGAATGGGTCATAACCTGCGCGCCCCTTTAAGACATTTCAATTGCAGATGTTCAAGTGATGGTATCACCGGTTTTATTCTCTTCAATGGGAGGAATTTGCTCGTCGTGAACGCATTTTGTCAGATGTTCGTCTCATTCAGGTTTCCAAAAAATTTGTTGCTTTCCAAAAGTGTTTTTAGTCGTTTCATGGCCGTTTCTTTCAATGGAATGTTCTTCACGTATACAAAAAAACACACCTTCCTCCAGTTTCTCATTTACTATTCGATAGCGATTTCTCTTTTCTGCTTGTCAATTTTTACAAATTTAACTGTAATCGTGAATTTGTATGTAATTCCAACTCTGGCATATTTCATGATCACAATGGATTTTTTCACTTTTTCAAAGCTTCGAAAAGTAGGTTGAAGTAATGATTCTCAAAAAAAGTGAGACTTAGCTGAGTCACTCCAAAGTTACGTTGGCGGAGAGGCGTTTAATGGTTCAGGTTGGTTCAAATTCAGGACATTTAATGATAAATTGGTTACTTGAAAATTGAGTAGCAAAATGGTTTGCCTTCTTTTTGCAAAAACAGAGTCTGTGTTGTTTTCTTTTGGCCCCGGTGGGATGTGGGCTGGCGGCGAACCCGACAAATTGGTTATTGGAAAATTGAGTATTAAAATAGTAATCCAAGGTTATTTACCTTTTTTTACCCAAACAGAATCCGTGAGTAGTTTTTTGTGATCTATCAGTCTTGGTTCATTCAATTCTGGTTCTTCTGAAGTTACCCAAACTGTAAGGTACCTAATGAGTCACAAAACGCTTTTCAGATGATCGGTAGCTCAACATACTACTCTATGACCTATTTTGTCTCAAGTCTTGCCACCATTGTACAGTATCCATTCTTTGGCCTCTTCTTATCGAATGTGGCATTGAACGTGAACTCAACTTTCTCAATATGTATTTACACGCTTGGACTGAGGTTTGTGCTTACTCAAGCCAAATTCGAAATCTCTTTTCAGCTATTTGAATATGGTCTACCTAAAAAAGAAAGTCTCGAGCTCTTCTTCACAAAATTCAACCGCCGTGTGAGAGGTGCTCCACATGTGAAAAAAATTTGAACATTGTAAAGTAATTTTTGGTTCTTTTACTATTCTTTGATTTTCGTTTATTATTATGTGGTGAAAAAACTTTACGCGGTCATTAGCTTTGAACTGATGAAGTGTGTCTTATCAAAAAAACCAAGTCAATTTCACGTAATCGGAAATTTACGGTCTGGATTTTCAACAAAAATTTTCTAGCCTAAAGTTTGCAACAAAGTTTGGTAACTTTTTTGAATCCTCACAGAGTCCGACTACAATTGGATGACTGGATAAAACTAGAGAAATGACTATGGTTGTTCTCTAAAGTTTACATGGTTTAGAAAACGCATTGCTTAAAAGGAACAGACTCTAAGTATTACGGCAGGGAAGTGGGTGGTAT